TGTCCTTTGGCGTCAGCAGGCAGAGGTCCTGACAGCCGCCGTTGTTCACCCTGCACGGGGACAGCTCGCCTAGGAGAGATGGAGAGCGGTCACACCCCCGGCACCCCCTTCCCCTTGTCCTCTTGGATGGGGAGAGGAGAAGCCAGGGTTCCATGACGGGGCCATGGGGGATGCACGGGGCTGGGGGCACCCCGCCTCCCCAGATCTTGCAAGAAGAATGCCCTGGGGAGAGCACATATGGGGCAAATTCTCCCTCTCTTCAGTTTGCACGGGGTTTGGAGACAGAGAGGCCTTGGTGTGAGGGTGCCGAAGGGACCAGGACCAGGCAGGAGGGTGGGATGGGTTCCCCCCTCCCCTGGCCTGCAGATGGGGGGTTGGGGGGGGAAGAGCAGCGCTGTCTGGCACAGGGCTGAGCTCCCCGAGCCGGGGCGCGTGGGTCTGGCAGAGGCGGGGGGGAGCAGAGCCCCCATGGTGGTGGGGCTGGGGGGTGACGGTGGGCAGCGGGGCGTCCTTACAGCTGTCGGTGTCGTTGGCCACGGCGATGATGCCCATGGGCTGCTGGGGGATGTCGACACGCAGGAGCTTCATGTCGGTGCCCACGTACTTGTTGGCTCGCTGCACAGCCCTGCGCACCCAGTCCGTCCAGAAGATGTAATCGCCGTAGACAGCCAGGCCAAAGGGGTGCACGGGCTCCGATTTCAGGATCACCTGCCAGACACAGGCAAACTGTGAGCATGAAGGAACCTGGCTGGGGGAACGCACCCCCCGGCACTGCCCCACGCGTAGCCCATCCCCGTGTGTCCGCCCCAGGGGAGGGCCCGATCCTCCCCCGTGCCCCAGCTCTGCTTTCCTCTGGCAAGGCGCCAGCCCCAGTTTCGACACTCGCCGCTCTCCTCCCCATCTCTGCCGCTGGAGGCCAGGTCTGGACTCACGTGGCGGTGGGAGCCATCGTATTCGCAGCGTTCGATTTTGTCCAGTGTGGCGTCGGAGAAGTAGATCTTCTCGGCCTTGTGGTCAATGGCCAGCCCGTTGGGCGTCCGTATGTCCTGGTCAATGATGATGAGGACGTTGGCACCAGAGAGGGTGGCACGCATGATGCTGGGATGCTGCTCATTCCAGTTGGTCCAGAACATCAGGCTGGAAGGGGAGAGACACGCGGTGCCTTTGCAGCCCCAGCTCTTGGCCACGTACACCTTGGCTCACGCACCCCTTTGGAGCTGCGGGGCTTCCAAGGGCGCTGGGATGGGGGGGGACACCGTCCCCGCATGAAGAGGGGGAGGAGGAGGAGGAGGAGCGAGGCCACTGCAGCCAGCTGGGAACGGTACCCCGTGGTACCAGCTGACCGGAGATGGGGATGGGAGGGGGATTTGGTCTTTGCTTTGGGTGCTGAAGGACGCGTCGGGAGGGAGCACCCGTTCCTCCCTGGGGTGCAATACTCCGTGCTGGGAGCTACTGCTTCCTCCCTGGGGGAATGGCGTCCACCCCGGGCACTGACCCTGGGACCCCGTGGACCCCCGGGCAGGCTGGCAGGGCCACCGACGCCACTCACTTCTGGCACTCGTCCAGCACAAAGGCCCTGGGGTGGTCGTCCCCCGACATGGTGATCACCGTCTCCCTCTCGAAAGCCCCCAGGCGGCTCTGGTCCACGGTGTGGCGGGTGATGGTGGAGGTGGTGTAGCTTGTCCAGTAGAGCGTGTCCCAGCCGCGGTGGTACGCCAGCCCCTCCACTGAACCCACGTCTGTGGAGGGGGGGACGGGGACAGGCGAGGGTCACATCCAGCCTGTGCTCCTGCAAGGCTGCCCAGCTCACCCCGCACGGCCAGCGCCGACTGGGACACGTGGGCACAGCTTCTTTGCCAGCCTTAAGTTATTGTTTTCAATTACACCCCCCCAAAAAAACCCCTCAGAGGCTCTGGCTGCTTGCTAAGAGGGAGCCAACGTGGCAGCACCCGAGGGGACCCCGCAGGGCTGGGCTGGCGCCTGTGCTAACGGGTGAGCTGGGACCCCAGGAGACATTGGGGTCTCCTGGACAGACCTCTGCTGCCCAGTGGGTAACAACGCTCAGGAAGGCCAAGAGACATTCGCTTGCGATGTAACAACGGCTTGAACTTGGCTTTCAAGCTCATGCTCTGGTCATCCCCCCTGCGCTGGCCAGGCCATGCTCCGCATCTCCCTGTCCCCACTGGGGAGGGAAGGGTCCCCTCTTCCAGGGGAGAGCTGGGGCCCAGAGGCACGAGGTGACAAGACAAAGACCCATGGCCAACCGGGGAGACCTTCCCTCCAGCTCCCAGGCCAGAACTCGAACTATACACTCATCCTTCCTCCCTCGTTAACGAGCAGCAAAAGGTTTAATGAACCGGCTGTGAGAGATGGGCACTGCTCTTCTGATCTCAGCGCGCGCCGCTATCCCAAGTGCCAAATGTAAATAGGCTCATTAGCGAGCACATCTACAACCCTCGCCGGGGGGGCTCCCTAGCGATGCAGAGCCACAGACGCGGTCCCTTCGATCGCCGCAGGAGCCAACGGAACCGACCGAGTGCCAACCCAGGGCTGGAGGGGAGGACAGGGCCCGGCGCAGCAAGGCTTGCTCAGGCTCCAGGGACCCGTCTTGGAAGTCAAATCCCAACACGGAGCAGATCCCCAGGTTTGCTGCAGCGCCTTGTTTCTAGAGCGATGCAAACCCACGCGCACGCCCAAGCCTCGTGATACGCTCTGCTTGCCAGAGCCAGCTCCGCAGGCTCATCCTGGCTCTGCGGCCCCTTCCAGAGGCTCCAGCTCACAGCCCAACCCTTGAGAGCTGCCACGCAAAGTGCCTCTTGAAAACGCTAAAAAATGTTAACTGAGACAAGGAGAAGCCACCCTTGGGTGAGGAATGGGGGAGTTCAGGAAGAGGTGGCAGGGGACAACAGAAAAGAGGGGTCTGAGGACAGAGGCAGGCGTAGGGGACCCTGTGACACTCACTCTCCACAATGGTCTTGCGCCCCGTGCCGTCATCGTTGATCTGCTGGATGTTGCCGAAGTGGATGTCGCTGTAGAATATGCGGTTGCTGCCCTTGGAGCCGTAGCGGTAGTCGAAGGCCAGGGCGATGACGTTCTTCATGTGCTCCGCGTCCTCGAAGGGCTTGATGGGCGCGTTGAGGTTGTTCTCGTCTGACAGGTGGATGCTCTTGAGGATGGTGCGCTCCGAGTAGAGCAGGTAGCCGTCGTAGTCCCGGCAGCTCACCCCGTCCTCGGACAGCATGCCGTGGGCGCAGGCGCACGTCCTCTGCCCGCCACCCCGGAACAGGCAGAGCTGCTGGCAGCCCCCGTTGCTCTGGGCACAGATGTTGGTGCCTGGGGAGGGGAAGGGGGGGCTGTTCAAGGGACTGGGCCGGCTCCCGCTCGGCCGTTTCCACCTCTCCCCACTCCCACCCGCCCCGGGCGAAGGAAGGGGCTCAGCACGGGGTGCAACGTGCGTCTTTTGACGATGACACAGTGGCCCGTTTTGTTCCCGTCCCCATCCCGGCATCTGCCGGCTCAGCAGCGCCGCGGGAGGGGCTGACACCCCCCCACTCCTGGACGCACCCTTCTGCCTGGCCCGGTTGAAGACTTTGATGTCCTTGAGCTGCACGCCGATCCCCGTCCGCAGGGACACCGACGCGGTGGCGTTGTCCTTGTTGCCTCTTTTGATGGAGCCGTTGGCGTGAGTCCTAAGGACAGACGGCGTCACCGCGCAGCTGACACGGGGCCACCCCAGCAGCACCCTGCAGCAGGGCCCAGCTCTGCCCCCCCCCCATAGCACCCCCCCGCTCCCCCCACCCCCCCATTCAGCCGGCGCCTGGGACACCCCCAGCCCCGCCAGACCCTTGGGCACGGTACCTATCGCTCCAGTAAATGTACTCCTCGAAGACCGACACCGAGAACATGTCCATGTTGTTGCTGGACAGGACAACCTCTCGGTTTTCACCCGTCTCCACGTTGATTCGTTCGATCTTGTCTGTCCGGGCATCACACCAGTAAAGCTTCCCGTCCTGCGGCAAGCATCCCAGTCAGCGATGGAGTGGTGCACCAGGGCGGCGCTAAGGCACCCTCTCCCACCACGGCCAGCAGAAAGTCCCCAGGGTTCAGAAGATGACCTCCCTGGACGTCCCTCCCTGCACCGGGGAGGGCAGCCGTGCCCCCAGCGGCCCCAGCAGCAGGGACCCTGGGGACCAGCACGCTCCCCGCCCGGCCCCAGGGCAGCACCGTCCTCCCAGCGGCAACCGTACCTCATAGTCAACGGAAATCCCGTTGGGCCAACTGATGCTGACGTTCACCAGCACCATCCGCTCGGTCCCATCCAGGCGGGACCGTTCGATGCGGGGGTACTGCCCCCACTCCGTCCAGAAGAGATACCTGCAGGGGACAGCAGGGACGTGACCACGGGGCCGGCCACGAGCAGCACCCTTGGGCCTTTTGGACCGTCGGAGCAGAGGACAAACATCTCTCCCCCTCATCCCTCCACACCAGGGCCTCGGTCCCGACCCCTGGTGACGTGCCAGCCTCTGGCCACTGTGGAGATGACGCTGCCATTGGGGAAGGGAGCGCTGCAGCTGGATGCTGCCCAGAAACCCACCCGCGTGCCCCCATGGGAGGTGCCTTCTCCATCCTTCCCATCACAGGGAGCGCCCAGGAAGCTCAGCCCATTGCTGAAAGGTTGGTTGAACCCAGCTGGTTTGGACACCAGGAGCCCGTCCCTTGGTGTGGGGGGAGACCTTCGGCTCCTCCTCCATTGCATGCAAACCGCGCGGCTCTGCCGGGAGGGCGCGGGGGGTCTCCGATGTGTGCCCACCCCCCAGCTGATGGCCCTCCCCGGGTGGTTTTGTGTGGGTTCTCACCCCTTCTCTGGATGGACCGTGATGGCTCGTGGCTTGTCCAGCCCCTGCGAGATGACAACATAGCGGAAGGACCCGTTCAGCCTGGCCACCTCGATGACATCGAAGCCCTGGTCCGTCCAGTAGATGTTTCCTGCAGAGAGGGGACGGTGAACACCCGCATGAGCCCCGCTCCCCAGCTGCCCACCCCGCTCCTCCCCGCTCCGCATCCCATCTCACCGGCGATCCAGTCAACGGCGATGCCCTCCACGCGGCCAATGCCGTTGGTGACCACGTCCTCCCGCCACGTCTGGTCCCGCTTGGCCCGGCTAATGGTGCTCAGACCCATGTCCACCCAGTAAATGGTGTCGTTCTCTGAGAGCCAGGCAGGAGAGCGGGCGTCAGTGACCGCCTCGGCGTCACCCCAAAGGTGGCAGAGACCTGGGCTGGGCTGCACCCCAAAGGGTGGGGGGGCTGAAACCCTCCCTCGCCCCG